TGAAGATGGCAACCACCATAGCCAGGTAAGTACCTAGATGTGTATAAGAGACAGCCCAATATGCCGTCGTGGTCTTAATCTGCCGTGCTTAAATAGCTGCTAACGTCAACCTGTCTTCCTGCTGACATGCCAGCAACATGCCATGTGTCATCATTGTTTCCAGGAAGCTGTCATAGAAAGCATGTGCCTCTACTGCGTGGACTATCCACGATGGCAGCATCCACCACATCCTCTTTTAGCATGTCCCACATGCAGAGTTGGGCATACAATTACTGCAAAGGCCATCGGATCTCCTTCTTTCTTGCCCGCTGAACAGCAAACTCAACAGCCTGAGCAGGAAAATAGAGTACCACATGAGCCGCTTATAGAGCACTGTGCTGAAGGGCTAACACCACCAGGACGAACTGTTGCAGAACAAATCCTGCAGCAACTAGACACCCTTGTTTTGGATGACTGCCTCTTGCCACAGTCATCGACGTCGTCGGTACATAGAGAAGGAATCAATGCCGAAGAAACTCAAAACACTTGCTCAATGCCGCTCTGTGATGATCCACCTGAGATTCGGCTAGCATGTGGGCTGCATGCATTGTGTCATAAGGATTATGAAGGCACACAGCCTGTGAGTCTTTCTGTTTTCATACGTATGATGACAGTCAATATTGCACTCACGTCCGGCACCCTGACATGTCATGTCCAATTTGTAGACAGGGGCTCGAACGACAATGCCTCTACAATTGCGGTCGGCGTGCCTCTGTGTTCCTTGCCTGTGGGAGCCATGTTGCCTGTGATATCTGTTTACGTCGTGCCATTCGTTGCAGAAACTGCAACTGCGAGAATTGGATGCGGTGCTTCCACAGTCCGCACCCAAATCGGTGCTGTCTGGTCTGCAGGAGTGGTCACCTACCATAGGCAACAACTACTCCTCATCCTGCAACCCGAACACTGATTGATTTCTCATGTCATTCTATAGTCGTCTGCTCCAGCGGTGTGTATAAAGAACCTATTGAA